AAAAAAAAAAAAAAAAAAAAAAGAAGGTGTTTCCCTTTCCTGTTCTTTCTCTGTATTTCATTCCACTTGAGAACCTTTCTGCTCTTGAGGTCAACAGAAATCCCCACCCTGTCAGTTTAATGTTTCTGCTTGCTGCCTAAGAGGCATGAAATTATAGCCTGCCACCCAATATTAAAGGTCATTTTCCATGAATGTGTAGATGGAGATGTCCAGATGACTTGTGATTTAAATGTGGTCACCGGCTCCCCTAATAGATCTGTCCCAGGACTGATAGATCTGGCTGATAAGGAGGATGTACCTGGACATTAGGCAGGAGACAGCACCACCTGGCAAGCTGTCCTCACACAGTGGCCCTTAACTTGCTGGGGCTCTTGGTGAGTCTGTCCAGGAAAAAGCTGCTGTCTAATGAGCCTTTCCCCACAGACAGCCTGCTGCTTCCGACGCATGCACAAGCCCTGGAGACCCAGCCTCCTGAACATCATATTTATTTTCATGTTCCTGCCTTAATTACTTTTTTTCTTTACTAGCATTCTTGTTCATTATTTATAACAACTTTTTAAAATAATTATGCAGTAATCCCTTCCCCTCTACACAATAGCTTTTTACATTCCTATATTAGCTTTTCAGTCTTTTATTTGTACGGCTGTACTTGGTACATTGCTGTCACTGGCATTTAGATATTATGGACAAAATGTGTGAAACTAGTTTTGAACAGTTCCTCAGCGCAGAGCAGGATTCCCTTTAGGGCATTGTTCACATTGCCCAGGACTTGTTTAGAAAGCTTGAATTATACACTTATGACCTTAACACATAAACAATTTTGCATTTTACTTTTTACTTTAGCATAATTTCATGCATGCTTTCCTGTATAGCTATATTATCTTCCAATTTATCATTTTAATGACTGCTTAATATTCCATCCAGTTAATGTGCCCTAATTTACTTAACTGTTCTCTATTGTTAGGCCTTAATGAAAATTTGAATCTACCATGTAATACAGGAGGAGGGTTGTTTTAATGATTACCATTATGACATCCCTGCTTTAACTGCATGCCATTACAAAGTCAGCTTTGGTAAGGGACAAATACTTCTGGAACAATAAATCATGCACAAGTCCCTCTGATTTAATAGCTAATCTGCTCACGGCACACGTTTTCCTTTTAGCCTAGTATTTGTGTAGAATACCTGTCACTGGTGAGTATTGTGGAATACTCAACTGTGTGCATTTGGCATTTTCCTCCCAATACTTTATCACCAGCCTCAAAGACTTTCATAAATTAACTGGAATTTGAGGGTACAGAGTGATACGTGGCTGTCTTATTCATTTGCCTACCTAGAGCCAACTTTATCTGGAGTGGGCTCTGAGGGACGGAGCCAGGCACTACTCTTGGAGGTGCATCTGTGAATTGCTTTGTGGTGCCCTTAGATTAAGTGGTGATGTACATGAGATGCACTTCAGGAACTGTCGGGTGAACTACAAAGTGGTTGCTGGTCCTCCCTGTGGAGGGTGAAGAGGAAGCTGGCTTTTCCAGGTCAGTGCCTTCCTTATCAGCTGCATCTCAGCCATTCTCAGAACCAGGGGAGAGTGCTGCAGATGATGAGGATCCCTACAGAGTGCTAAGTAGTACGTCAGTACTTCAGTACTTCAGGGCCTCATCCTGTAAAGTGACAGAATGCTACCATTTAATAGCTCTTCCCATTTCCTCTTCTTCCTTCTGTAAAAAAAGCAGCGGGGGGCCGGGGGGAGCATCGTCCTAAAAAATAATAAGTGATCCTAGTTTTGGTGTAGTTATGTTTTTTGTTTGTTTGTTTTGTTTTTTGGTTTTTTGAGACAGGATCTCGTTGTGTAGTTGGAACTGACCTGGAACTCACTATGTAGCCCAGGCTGGTCTCAAACTCACCGTGATCCTCCTGCCTCAGCCTCCTGAGTGATGGGATTGCAGAGTGCTGGGATTACAGGCGTGGGCCACCACACCTGGCTTTGTGTAGTTATGTTTTGACACTTTCTTATGGGAGTCAAGATTTTAAGTGGCCTGAGATCCATATATTCACAAAGTTCTTCCCTGTTAATTTGCTCCCTTTCTAAAGAAAAGGCTGCTTGAATACCCCTCCACCTCCCACCAGCTCTTTAACACT